TATGACCTCCTGTCACAGGTGCTGGCTAAAGTGGCCCCTCGGGATAGAGTCATCATGTTGGGTGAATTCAATGCCCGAGTTGGTCATGATACTGGCACCTGGTCTGGAGTGATTGGAGGGCATGGGCCAGATCAGCTCAATAACAACGGTAGGAGGCTGCTAGATTTTTGTGCAGCCCATGGGCTTGTAATTACCAACACGCTGTTCCGGCATCGGCGCATCCACACAACATCATGGATGCATGCCGGGTCCAAGCAAGAACATCTGCTGGACTACATAGTGACGGACCAGCGAATGCGAGCCCATGTCCTTGACACCAGGACCTACCGTGGAGCTGATCTGCCCTCTGACCATCGACTAGTCATCTGTAAGATGCGCCTGCCATTCTTCCACTCCGGTGGTGGGTGTACACCCAGGACCCCATTCCAACATAAAGTGGCCTGGTCTCAGTTATCTGATGAAAGTTGCAAGCAAGAATTTCATCATCGCTTGCGGCTGGGATTGGCATCGTCCCCAACTCCTCCTGATGTCGAGGGTAAATGGGCGAGGTTTAGGACTGTGACTCATGCAGCTGCAATGGCTGCTTTGGGTACGCGGTCCAGACCTCCCCAGAGACCCTGGCTGACAGAGGAGGTGTTCAGGATGGTTGAGAAAAAGCGACAGGCCCACTGTCATCGGCTACAGAATCCCACGTCAGAGAATGAGGAGGCTTACCGCAGCCTTCGCTCGGAGGTTCGGAGAGCCGTGAGGCGCTGCAAGGATGGGTGGTGGTCGCGGGTTGCTGAGGAGATGGAGTCTGCCTCAGTGGCCCGTGATCACAAATCTCTATTTAACTCCATTAAAAAAGTAACCTGCAGCGCCACACCTATTACCATCATTAGAGGAAAAAACGGTGATCCAATCTCCAACCCCCAGGAACAGGTTCGCAGATTTGCTGAGCATTTCTGTGAGGTCCTGGGGGAGGGAAAATCCCTCAGCCAGGAAAACATCGTGGCACAAAGTGAGGATGACCCTGCTGAGGCTGCGGTGCCTCAAATATTGGAAGAAGTCACCCCCTGTGAGTGGCTGGCTGAGGTGCCATCTGCTGAGGAAGTATTGAAGGCGATCCGGAGTCTGAGACCAGGAAAGGCCGCGGGCAGAGATGATCTCCCAAGCGAAATGCTGAAGGAGGGTGGCGTTTGTGCACAGACTGCCCTATATGACATCATAACAACAATCTGGACCACTGGACGGGTTCCGCAGGATTGGAAGGATGCCCTGGTGGTCCCCCTTTTTTTAAGAAGGGGGACCGCACAGACTGTAACAACTACAGGGGCATCTCACTCCTCAGTGTGCCGGGAAAGGTCCTGGCAAGGATTATTCAGCATCGCCTTGCCAGGCACGCTGAGGAGAGGCTTGTGGAGCCCCAATGCGGTTTCAGGAAAGGGCGGTCCTGCACAGATGCTATATTTTCTGTCCGTCTGCTACAGCAGAGGTGTAGGGAATTCCAACAAGACCTACATCTCTGCTTTATTGACCTGGTCAAGGCCTATGATACCATCAGTAGGCCTGGGCTCTGGGTCGTTCTTCGTGCTTTTGGAGTACCTGACCCTCTGCTCACGATCATTAAGGACCTTCATGATGGTGAGCGGGCCCGGGTAAAACTACGTTGCCGGGAGTCAGAGCCATTCCCTGTACACCTTGGGGTGCGACAGGGATGTCCTCTGGCTCCCACATTATTTAACATCTATTTTGACCACGTAGTTCGTGAAGCCTTCAATAGCTGTACCGGGGGAATCTCCATATGGTACAGATATAATGGGAGGCTAATCGATGCCCGGGTGCGGTCAAGGGATGGCTCCCTATTGCTCAACCACGTTATGTATGCTGATGACTTGGTAATAGCTGCTCAGTCAGAGGAGGAGTTGGAGACGCTGCTGCTGAGACTGGAGCGTGCCACTAAGAGGTGGGGCCTTACCATCAGCCCCACCAAAACTAAGCACCTGCCTGGGTATTTTGTACCATCGGACACTACACCCCCACAACTCCCAATCGGTGATGGGGCAGTTGTGGAGAGAGTGGAGAGTTTCCCATACCTGGGCAGTGTGCTTATGACTGGCTCCAGTTTAACAGCAGAGGTCTCACTCCGAATCAGTCGAGCGGCAATATCTTTTCATCGGTTGCGTAACGCTGTGTGGAAGCTACCTGGTCTGTCGCTCCGCACTAAGCTTCAGGTCTTCTCGGCCACGGTCATTCCCTCCCTTCTCTACGCTTGCGAAACGTGGACCCCCCTAATGGAAGATCTTCGCCGGTTAGAAACATTTAGGCTGGCCTGCCTACGATCCATCCTGGGTTTAACCAGACTGGATTGTGTGAGGAGCTCACAAATCCTTGAAAGATCTGGGCAGGGTCCCATCGGTGAGCTCCTCCGGCAGGCAAGGCTGCGATGGCTGGGTCATGTAGCCCGCATGCCCAGCCACCGCATGCCGAAACAGCTTTTGTTTGGCCGGATTGAGGGGGC